TAGGCACTGTTTCAACATCTCGTTTATCACTCCCTAACACTTTTTTGGTACCTTAATTATCTCTAAATCTTATATCTGTTGGACAATTATGTGAACTTGGTTTTGAAATACATTTCTCAAGTCATGGTTGTACTGTGCAGGATCCACGGACAGGGAAGATCGTTGGGACAGGTCGTAAGGTTGGGAGACTGTTTGAGCTATCATCTCTTCAATTACCATCTCTTGTTGTTGCTGTCACCTCTAGCGTCTGGCATTCACACCTTGGTCACATTTCTACCTCTAGATTAGGATCTTTAATTTCTAATGGATGTTTAGGTCCTGTTAAAACAACACACTTTGATTGTGTTTCATGTCCTCTTTCAAAACATCATGCTTTGCCTTTTACTATAAGTGATTCTGTTTCTTCTGCACCTTTTGATCTTATCCATTCTGATATTTGGGGCCCTTCGCCTCATAATACCATGGGTGGTTCACGTTATTTTGTGATCTTCATTGATGATTTTTCTCGATATACATGGATTTATCTCATGCGTAATAAATCTGAATTACCTGCAATTTATATTCAATTTGCCACCATGATCAAAACTCAGTTTTCCTCTATCATCAAAATTTTTCGCACTGATAATGCCATGGAATATAGAGATTCTATCCTTACCCAATTTCTTCCACAAAATGGAACTATCATTCATAGATCTTGTCCCGGTACCTCTCAACAAAATGGGCGTGCAGAACGAAAACATAGGCATATTCTTGATACTGTTCGAGCTCTTTTAATCTCTTCCTCCTGTCCTGAACGTTTTTGGGGGGAAGCAGCCCTCACCGTTGTTTATACCATCAATCGCATTCCTTCTCCTGTTCTTGGTAACATTTCTCCTTATGAACGATTGTATGGCCATTGCCTTGATTACCAGTTTCTTCGTGTATTTGGTTGTGCTTGCTTTGTTCTATTACAACCTCATGAACATACCAAATTGGAACCAAAAGCACGTCTATGTTGTTTTCTCGGGTATGGTATTGAACATAAAGGATATCGGTGTTGGGATCCACTTTCCCAACGACTTCGCATATCTCGTCATGTTACCTTCTAGGAACACAAAATGTTCTCCAATCTCTCCCCATTTCGGGTTACCACGACATCTTCACATTTTTTTACTGATCCTACTATCTCGCTTTTTCCTGATGATTTACCTACAGGTCTGACTACTTCTTCATCTAATAGCTCTAACAGTACTGCACAACCTGCAGCCTCTCCCGATGCATCTACCTTGGCTATGGATCCTCCAGCTCTGCCATCTTCTGAGTCCTTAATTCCCCCTGATGAATTAGACCCTGCTCATTTTGGTGCTTCACTCCGTCGCTCTGGTAGGGTTACTAAACATTTGGTTCTTCTTCGTGATTTTCATTGTTATTCTACCATTGTATCTTTATACGAGCCTTGTACCTATCGCGAGGCTAGTACTGACCCTCTATGGCAGCAAGCAATGGCAGAATAAATTCAAGCTCTTACAAGCACTCATACTTGGGATTTAGTTGACCAACCTTCAGATAAACCCGTGATTGGTTGCAAATGGGTCTACAAAATCAAGACTCGGGCAGATGGTTTAGTTGAAAGATATAAATCTAGATTGGTAGCTAATGGATTCACACAGGAGTATGGCATTGACTATGAGGAAACTTTTTCCCCTGTAGCCCATCTCACTTCTGTTCGCAGTCTTATTGCGATTGCTGCAGCTAAGCACTGGCAGCTATTTCAGATGGATGTTAAGAATGCTTTTCTCAATGGTGAACTTTTTGAAGAGATCTATATGCAGCCCCCTCCTGGTTATGTTCATCTCCCTAATCAGGTGTGTCATCTCCGTAAGGCTCTATATGGACTTAAGTAGGCACCTCGAGCATGGTTCTCCAAATTCAGCTCTACTGTTTGTTAGTTTGGTTTCCAATCTAGCACTTATGATCATGCCTTGTTCATCCGGAAGACCTCTCAGGGTTGTATACTTCTCCTCCTTTATGTGGATGACATGATCATTACTGGCGATGATTTGCAAGGCATTACCGCTCTTAAGACTTTTCTTAGTAAACAGTTTGACATGAAAGATCTTGGTCGACTAAATTATTTTTTAGGCATTGAGGTCTCCTCCGACCAATCGGGATATTATCTGTCTCAGGCCAAGTATGCCACTGATCTTGTTTCTCGTGCAGGACTCAACTAAGACTGTTAACACTCTGATTGAGCCTAATGTCCATTTTTCAGCCACTGATGGTACTCCTCTTAGTGATTGCACCTTATATCGGCAACTTGTTGGCAGTCTTGTATACCTTACTATTACTCGTCCTGATATTGCGTATGCTGTCCATATTGTGAGTCAGCTCATGTTTGCCCCTTGCACTACTCATTATGTTGTTGTGATTCGGATCATCCGTTATGTCAAGGGCACTCCGTTTCAAGGACTTCACTACTCCAGTTCTTCCTCTCTTCATTTGATCGCGTATTCTGATGCTGATTGGGCTGGTGATCCTACTGATAGACGCTCCACTACTGGTTATTGCTTCTTTCTTAGAGATTCTCTTATATCCTGGCGTAGTAAGAAGCAAACGGTTGTCTCTCGTTCCAGTACTGAAGCTGAATATTGAGCTCTTGCTGACACTACTTCCGAGCTGTTATGGTTACGATGGTTACTCCATGACATGGGAATTTCTCATTCATCTGCAACTCCTCTTCACTGTGACAATCGTAACGCCATACAGATTGCCCACAATGATATCTTTCATGAACACACTAAGCATATTGAGACTGATTGTCATTTTGTTCGCCATCATGTGCTCACGGATACTGTTTGCCTTATTCCTGTCCCTTCCCAGGATCAGTCTGCCGATATATTTACCAAAGCATACTCTCCTCTTCGCTTTCGTGCTCTCATTGGCAAACTCCACATGGCTGATACATTACCATCTTGAGTTTGAGGGGGGATGTTAGCGTATTTCATCAAAACTTGTATCATTATCTCCTTACTTCTAGGAGATAATTAGCTGTATCTATCTTATCTCCTTCTCTCTTATTTCTTTCCTTCTTGTATTCTACTTTTGGTCGCCGACTTAGTTTCCTGATTGTATCTCGCACTATTATAAATGGAGCTGCAATTTATTGAAGAATACACAATATAAAAATTATTATCTTCTCCATTCGCCCTTCCTAGTTTCCTATCAATAAGGATTTTTTTTTAAGCATTGTTGCAATTGCAAGCTGACAGTATTGTTCCTGTTATCCTTCTTTTCTATTTCTTCCTTCTTTTGACTGGAGAGAATGGCCAGACCATGAACCATGAATAGTTGCAAATGCAAGATATTGATAAAGGGGAATGATATTCAACTATTTATGAATATGGAGAAGCTCAATTTGGCTCATTGTCTCTATTTATGCATCTATATTGATGGCTTGATGCATGAAGGTGAGACTAGTAAGTAGCTTAGGAAGACCATAAAATTAAAAAAGAACAAAAAAACAAAGGACCCAGAAAGGAAAGAAGATAGAAGAGAAGAGAAGAAAATGAAAATGAAAAAAAAAATGGATAACATATCTTAGGGTTTGATTCCTAATTGTAACTTTATTGTTATAAAGCTGGTTTGCAACCGAATTAATTTTGCACCTAACCCACTAGATGGGTAGTTGAAATTTGACAATACTTTGCCACACGTGACATGTCTACACCATATAGAAGTGAGCTGTAGGCTCCATTAAAATAGTCAAATTTTATATTTGTGACCCTATTTACAGCCAAAACTTTGTTTTTTCAATTTTCACCCCCTTTACATGGAAATAAGGCAGAAGTACCAAAATGAAAATTAGGGCCCATATGGGCTGGGCCTTTGGGTAATGGACACCAACCCAGCCGGCTGATTCGGCTCTTCTAGGACTGACCCAGGCATGGTTGTTTACTTGTTTATCATATATGTCCATGGGCCGGATCCGGCCCAAAAATGACCATTATATCAGGCCCATATCCTTAAAATCTTTTCAAACTATTTTTTCCCGTTTGTACAGTTCAAAACACGAGATACAACAAGTGCAACTACTTCATTTAATACAACCTCGGCCTCGCAACCGAACTTATCTTTTCCTTCCAATAATCCGATCCCTGATCAACGCGAAAAAGAAAAGAAAACTGAAAGAAAAAGACAGTGAGTGGCGGATCCCACCACCATTTATCTACGAAAGCAATTCCCGTCAATAAGTAGTACTTCACAGTAACTGAAGTTTAAGGGGTATTTTGTGGATCAATAGATCTACAGATGGGGAGAATATTGCACAAAGAGTAAGATTATTAAAAGTAGAATAAGTCCAACATCTGCAACATTTTTTCATTCAGTTCCCACAGAGAAAGAGGCTAGATGAGCCTGGATACAACTTAACTTTTTTTTTTTTTGGGGGGGGGGGTAAATAACAGCACTAAAGTTAAGAAGTAGTGAATGGGTGGCCCCTCTTATGTAAGATGTCATTGAGTGACAAAATTCAAATTGTCCCACACATCTTTATTAATATGAGAATTGAGGAATTCACGGATGAACCAAAGCAATCACGGGATGCCAAAATAAAAAGTAATGAGAAAAATTGATGATAGATGAGATCCATCACACTAAAGAAAGTATAAGTTCCCATTTCCTTTGACTGAGGATCGAAATTACAGGACCATTACCAGCCACACTAGATTTAATGTTTATCAAGCAATCATGGGATCTCTTATCTGATTTTATGAGTCAGCCTCACAGAAAATCAGGTAGATGATGGGTAAATTTAAAATTTCATTGCTTGATTAGTCAGAAGAAAAGGGTCATTGCCTGTTCAAGAAATGGCCCCACCAGTAGGATGGATTGGATTGATGGGCATCATCTGTGTCTCCTAAAACCAGAAAATCTATCTTCTCACAAGTGGAATCTCTAGAAAGAGTGAAAGACTACTTTCAAGTTTTAACAACCAACACAATTATTTCAATTCCATCATCCCCTCACCCCACCATCCCATCCCAGTATCCTTATTTAAATGAGCCAAACCCCAAGAAAGCATAAAAGAGGACCTCTCTCTCTCTCTCTCTCTGTTGCAATCTGTGTGTAGGCTGTAGGCCAAGAGAATGGCCTCAAGGGGTTCCTACCATGCTACTTTGGGAGTATGGTATGTGTTGGTGTTGATGATGGTTGGCTCAGTAAGGCCAGATGTAGCTCAAGACAGAAGTGAATGTGCAAACCAGTTGATCGGGCTATCCACATGTCTACCCTACGTCGGAGGAGAAGCCAAGGCCCCAACTCTAGACTGTTGTACTGGTCTGAAACAAATTCTGGACAAGAGCAAGAAGTGTCTCTGCATCCTTGTCAAAGACAGAAATGACCCAGACCTCGGCCTGAAGATCAATGCAACTCTTGCTTTGAGCCTTCCTACTACTTGCCACGCCCCAGCTAATGTTTCTGATTGTCCGGGTATGTAAAATATACTTTGTTAGTAGGAATCATAGTACTGTGCTTTTGCTTGATTATGTCTCACGAATTTGATGCTGTGTGTGTTCAATTCCATTTGTGGCGATGGATCCAGCTCTTCTGCACTTGGCTCCTAATTCCCCAGAAGCTCAGGTTTTCGAGCAGTTTGCCAAAGGGGCTGGGAGCACTGTTGCTAGTGGTAATATAAATTTGTTCTTTTGATTGTCTTTCTCTGTTCTGCTTCTCTCTCTCTCTCTCTCTCTAACTGATTTTTTTTCACTATACAGCAGGGGGGAATTCCTCGAGTTCATCCACTGCAACAGGATCAAGTGCAAAAGAGGCGAGTGACGGTGGGAGGGGGAAGAGGTGGATGGCAGTGGAGATGGTTGGTGGGGTTTTCTTTTTCTGTTTGTCATCATTCTTCATTGTTGGTTTCTAGAGCCTTGAGTGATTGACACGCCATTGGATTTCTGTAATGGCTTCTTGCTTTCAATATATTTTCTTGTCAAAAATAACTTTTAACTTGTGATTATACCTAGTGCTCTGTCACTACTGCTCTCTCTCTCTCTCTCTCTCTGAACATATTGATTGCTCTGAATTATGTATATGAGATGAGATGGAATGCTTCTAGTGAGTGGTAATAGATAGATTCAGGTCATGTGATGCACTGAACAAATCAAAAAGTGATTCCCCTACATTTTTACTGTTTCTCATTGGCTTTTGAAATTTATTCCTTGGTTGACAACCAAGTAATCAGATGATTGAAGCCACACTGATATTGCAAAATCAACGCTCTGATTTCAATGAATTGAAAGGTTGAAGCCACAGAAGAAAATGGGGTAGAGAATAGTTGACTGGTAAGACCAGAAAGACAGGTACCCAGCAGAGGACAGGTACTGTTTTTGCACGTTGTCGTCCCTAGTCTACAACATAGGACTCTAGACATGTGTAAATCATCCCAACTGACCAATCAACCATCGGAGTTATTATAAAGCTTCAACTGGAAGTTGGACATATTCTAGCCAGCAGATATAGAATATGGTCAGAGACACAACCAGAATCAGTGTTCAAAGTTTGAGAATCTCAAAGACCAAAGAGTATGGGCAATTTTAAGAGCACATGCTTTCCAAATCCAAACGCATGGATATGCTGTAGATGAATTAAGAGTGATTGAGTGAAAACTCGCATTCAATTTCAAAACCCTGACTTAATTCTGGTAGGAAAATGGGTCATTGATTAATCCCCTTAAAATATGAGGGTTCAGCCCTTGTATCCTGCTCTGCATCCCAAAACTACTGAAACTTTAAGTTCCAAACATAACCTCAATAATTTTTCTATATCAGAGATGGTTGCAGAAAATAAGCCTAAAGAATTAAAATATTTTAACCCCAAAATTCAACCAATTGCAGTGAACCAAACAAACAAGAGCAAGCTTAGGAATGGTACCCCATGGGTCTGGCCTAGATAAGCTGTTTTTTTCCACCCAAATGGTCCAGAAGAGAGGGATAGGCTCTGCTATATCAGTAATGGATGTGTAACAGTACTTCAAGCTAGATGTTCAATTAAACAGGTATCTCCAAGGTATATTACAATATGTATCTACTTCCAGCACTACTGATAGAGGTTTGGCCGTTTGGGCAAATTTTATGGTGCATTAACTCCATGGTAGAGTAAAAAACATGAAGCAGTGATAACCTGATTGGATGAAATCTTGATTTATGTAACAAATATTTGTAAATGCACCTTAGTGGACTCTAAAGTATGTATACCAATATGTTGAATATTGTTCACATGTAGGAGATAGATACTAATTACTCTATCACAACCGGTGCAAATTGTCCAGCCAGCAAGATTCTTCCATGGATTCCAAATCACTAGCTGTGCACTTTAAGCACATTCTTGGCCCTGTTTGTTTGTAGTGCAAATCATAATTGGATACAAAATTTTCACCAGGTTAATTAGTTTTATGTCCATTTATTTGTAACTATAATTTGCACTTCTACCTGATACAAAATTCATACTTATTGTTTTATTTGCATTCTCTAGCAATGTCAATTTTGTATTCCAAAAACTGATGCAAAATTTGCACCACCTTTCTCCTATCTTAATTCTCTATCATATAAAGGGACAATCACATCATCTTACTTCCTACCTCAGTCCCAAACAGATAATTCTCTTACTTCCATTCTTTGGAGACCATTTCATTTTACTTCGTATCGTATTTCTCACAAAACAAACTGAGCCCTTTTATGTGTGAGAAGAAGAAGAAGAAGAAGAAGAAGAAGAAGAAGAAGAAGTGCATATATCCATTTGATTTGCATCAAAATGTATTTTGTGCATAACCTTGAGAGGGACTCCACTGCACATATCTCACTCCATTGATTATTGCAAACAAGCTCTAGTACAGCAGTTATGGGAATAGAAGATAAAACAAAGTGAAAGCAAACAAACATGGATCCTTGTAATTAATATCGTCTTATTGTTTATTTGCAGCAGTGCATGCATGGTATGTGAGCACAATGGCACATGCCCATCAATATGTCTGATCAGGGCTTAATTATTACCAAACCATGGCACATGCATGTCATGACCTCAGAAAATAATTTGTTCTATCAAATTATATATGTTTATTTATCTTATAAATGTTTATTTTGGTTTTCGTGCAAGTCAATCCTTACGAGAAACTTCATTTTAGCATTTTTACGATATAAAGATGTTTGTTTAATGTTCTTTTACGTGGTACTTAATGACATCTAATTGTCAATAAATACTAAAAAAATATTTATCAATCACTTTTTCTCCATTTTAAAGATAAATTAAATACAAATATTTATTTAATAACAAAAAATCATACCAAATATATACTATATATTATTTTGGGTTTTCAAAGCAAAATCAATTGCCACGGCAGCCCATATATTTTACTGAGGTGGCATTTGATTTACAAATCGGCGATGAATACCAACCCTAAATAATTGCTTTCAACAAGTCCTAATATTAAAAAATGGGTCCCAGCACGTGGACACATGCATGGGCATTTACCATTCACACCGACCATGCATCATGACAAAAGACACATGATGAAGTAATGTAACAGTACCTGATGATGAGTATATGGGTGATAGTACTTATTGAGTTTCTTTAAATTTATACATAATTTTATTTTTGAGTTATTTATATATGACCATGTACCTTTGCCATAATTCTTGTTTGGCAGAGCCAGAAAACATGCCATGGACCTGAACATTTGGCACTTGCGGCCATGGACCAGCTGCACTGCAGATTAGTCATGGAACTCCAGCTTGTACACAGCTGATGATGGATCCCAAGTATTTCTTTGCTACTATCTTTCTTTAGTTCTTTTTGCATTCTTCATGGTTCATACTCTCCAAATAGTAGCCATTATTGCTTGGTGAAGAAAGAGGATTAGCTGAATTTGATAGCTGTGTTATTGGCCGGCCATGGAATGGGTCATTTTGCTCCACCCCTGCCATGCCAGTGTGCAAGTGACTCAACCATTCAATTTCTCAGTTGAATCATGTTATCAAACACCCCTAAATCATGGCTTAACCACACAATTATCAAGATCACAGAATGGGGGTGTTCCTTCCCCAAATCCATAAACCCTCTCACCCCCACCTCCACTCCCACCCTTTTCAACCAAGATTCAAAGTATTGGTTCACATTGACCGATACATATCATTCTAGGACCCTACCGATATGCCCCTATAGTGGATGTATCGGGGGTCTGGCTGGTTCAAGGGATGAATGAGACCTAAACCGGCCCCCTGAACTAGTTTTAAAAAAAAAATAAAAAAAAAACAAAAAAAATAGTATTGATTCGCCGATACGCCCATACTGACGTACCGGATATATCTTAAACCTTGCTTCCAATCATATCAGTTTGATTCTTGCATGCATTTGGCACACATATTCCCCACCATCAGTTCTTGTAGCTGCATAAACTACAGCATACAGGTGTAAATACTTCAAGCAGGCTAAGGTTTTATTTACCTGTCTACCAAGAGTCCTCTCACCTCAATGAGTCAATGTGCACATGGATAACTTCTCTCCTCTCACTTTTCATACAATTGGGTTATTTATTTTTAAAACAAATTATTAAAAATATATGAATTCATAATAAAATCCCCGTAGACCTTAGCTTTTTATAATAGAACCCACCATTACTATCACTAAAGCCGTGTTTAGTTTGAAAGAAATCCCTTCCTTTTCCTACCTTCTCTTTTAAACCAAGCACAGTCTAACAAGATTAATTAACTGACAAAACCCAAATTTATCAAAAATCTAACTTTTTTTTCTTTTTTGAGTCGATGCAAGTATTAATGTAATTGGGAAATTTTTAAAATGTTAATGGAAATAATAAAATTAAAGACGTATGTGCACCACTAATAAGTTGTAAATGGTGACTTTAGTACTTACTGATAAGAGCCAAACTATAACCAAACCCATGACCGCTCTTAGTTAATTTCAGACACAAATAGGAACCCAAATGTACGCCGCTTTAGATAGGTTAGCCAATAGTCACATTATCCATTACGAGTTGGAGTGGGTTGGTTTGTCCAGTTTGAGGATTTAGTTTGGAGTTTCGACATTTTGCTACTTGATTAGATCTGTACCTGAACCCATAACGCTCCATAAGGCTATTTTGCCACGTCAGGATGTCACGCGTCTTTTGAATCGTGCTTAGCTTAATACGTGTGAAATAAATTAAATGTAAGGCTTGTTTGATAAGTCCTTTTGGAAAGATTTTTTTTAGCTCTGACGGTTAAAAGATATTGAGTTTGCCATGAAGATTTGAGCAGTCGAAAGCTATTTTGATATATACATGTCTTTCTGTGTATTTTTTTCGTATTTTTCACGCGAGAATAAAATGCTAAAACAATCAAAAGCTTCATTCAGAACTTCCCAAAATGAACGGCGCTCCAAGTTTTAACAGCTAGATCTTCAGCAAACCAAACGGGAATATATTAAAAATCAATCTGCCCAATTTGTAAATATCCGAAAGACTACGGAAAGACGGGCCCATAGTCTATCGTTCATGCCGTTAGCTTCTCCTTCGTGTTCATAGCTAATGTTTGTCAGGATTTTCGGATTTGGTTCCAATACCGCTACCTCTACACGCATTCGTGTTATTAGATAATGTTGACAAAGAGAGAGAGAAGCTTATAATATAAATCTACAGCAGACTGTAAATTCCCCGACTGGGTTCTAATTATGGATGCAACCCTGCAACTACTGCTTTCACAAGCAATTTTATTGATTTGATGTGTTTCTCTATTTTCCTCTTCAGTACTCTTCTTCAGATAGAGCCTGTGAAAAGAGTTAAGGAAAATAGCAGCATAAAAGAAAGACAAAGCTCTGGGGATTTGGGACTGCTCCTAGCTATTTCAGTTAATGCTTCACACTAACATAATATGAGAGAGAGAGAGAGAGGAGGAGGTCCCCATGAACATCAGTTCAAAAATCTGAAAATAAAAATGATCTACAGCTAGCAGAAGCTGATACAAGGAGAGAGTACAGAGTTTCATGACTCTGCAAGATCAAAGAAATTATTAGACAAAGAACATATGGGAAAACCTTAATAAAGAATATAGAAATTTGCCTGGACATTCCCATGTATGCCACTAATCTTCCTCAACTTCACTTCGTCATCAGTTCATCACCATGTTTCCTGCT